GAATATTGTCTTTGTCTTTGATTTTTACTAATTTAGCTCTAATATGCCTTGGAGAGAATCTTATGTTATGTTATGTTATATCTAATTGGTGTCTTTTTGTATTTCCTGGAGTTGAATGTCCACATGCTTCTCTAAATTTGGAAAGATATAGCTAATATAACATGAAAGAGATTTTTCTATGCCTTGCCTGTCCCTTCACCTCTGGAATACTTATTTTGTGAAGAGTCAACCATTTTATGGTTTCTAGGATCTCCCATATGTTGTCCTGATTTTTAATGGTTATTCTTCTATTCTTTTTGGTTGCTTAGACTAAATCAGAGATTTTGTCTTCAGGGTCAGAGATTCTTTCTTTGGAGCGATCTAATCTGCTGTTGATACTTTCAAGGGAGGTTTTTTTATTTCCTGCATTGTATTCTTTTATTTTCAGAACTTCTGTTTTATTGTTCTTCAGTGTTTCTATCTCCTTATGGTGTTCCTCCTTCTAGTCATGGAAAGATTTTCTTATCTCCTGGAATTGGTTGTTTTCCCTTGCATCTCATTGAATTTTGCTACAATGGACATTCTGAATTATTTTTCTGATATTTCTACAATCTCTTTTGTTTTAGCCTTTGCTGGTGAGGAGTTGGTATGTTCTCTTGTGAAGGAAGTATTTTCTATTTTTCCGCTGTTTTGAGTCTCCGCTTTCATTTTTAGTGATTTGTAATATACTCAATTCTTCCTATTTCTATGTAATGTTTCTATAGCTGTGTGTCTGTGTGCTTCCCTATGATGTGTTTGCGCTGTGCTAGTTTTCCTCCTTTACTGCAGGTGGGAGGGTGGAATCCACAGGAGTCCTGGATTCAGGTTTTGAGAGGGGAGTTTTTCTCCTTTTACTGCTAGGGGGGTTGTGGGGAGAGAATTCCTCCAGAGCCTCCTGTCTTCAGATGTTTGATTCTTGTACACCCAAACCTTTCTGCTACCAATGTGGATCGAAATTGAGCTGGATAGGTAGAATGTGAAGTGGAAGACTACTTTGCACAGTGCTGTGAACTGCATGAGCCAGAGTAGTCACTCCTTCCCCACAGCAGGCTGGTGCAGGGGTAGGGGATGGAGAGAGTTGGCAGCAATGAACTCAAACCAAATGATTTGGTCCTCCCTGTTGTTCTTCTCTCTTCTAGGAAATCTTGCTTTTGATAAGCGTTTTAAGTTCATTTACATTTAAAGTAATACAGATAAGGTATTTATCTACCATTTTGCTATTTGTTTTCTGTATGTCCTACATAATTTTTCTGCATGTCCTTTCTCTCCATAACTTTCTTGTGTTAAATATTTTCTAGTGTTCCATTTTAATTACCTTATTGTTTATTTTACTACATATTGTTTGAGTTATTTTCTTAATGTTTGCTCTGGGGGTTATAATTAACATCTCAAATTATGTAATTTGTATTAATACCAAATTAATCTCAATAGAATACAAAAATTTTAGTATAGCTAAGTTCCTGTTCCCTTCATTTGTGCTATTATTGTCATACAAATTAGAACTTAAACATTATAAGTCCTTAAGCAAAGTTCTACAATCATTGTTTATGCAGTTGTATTTTAAATCAGACAAGAGAAGAAAAGTTGTTGTAAACAAAAATACATTTATGCTAGCATTCATATTTACCTCTTCATTTACCTTTAGTGCTTTTATTCATTTATTCATGTGGATTCCTATTAATGTAGTGTCCTTTCATTTTAGCGTGAAAGATTGCTATTAATACTTCTTATATCTACAAGTGATGAATACTCTTGGTTTTGCTTTTCTGAAAATGTCTGAAATTCTTCATTTTTTTTTTTTTTTTTGGAGAGATTTTCACTGTAGGGCGCGTGCGCTTGCCAGACAGACAGAGAGAGAAATAGAGACAGAAAGCGAGAAATCACCCCCCAGGGGGGATGGTCACACCGCAATCCCTTCTCCTCCATTCTCCTCTCGGGATCTTGGGCACGCACGCACACGTGCCCGGCGTGAGTTTTAAGCCACCGGGTCCAGGACACAAACCGCGGTCCACTACGTGGGAGTCCAGTGACATAGCCATTACGCTAACTGCTGGTTCCCTGAAATTCTTCATTTTTAAAGGATAATTTTGCCGCATACAGTTCTTGATTTGTCGCCTCTCCTTTGGCACTTTGACTATACCATCCCAACTGCTTTCTGACCTCCATGACACCTAATGAGAAATCAGCTGTAAAGGTATAGACTATTTCCTGGACATTTTCCTCTTTCTGTGGTTAAGATCCTCTCTTTATATTTGACTTTTAACAATTTGACTACACTGTGCCCAGATACAGATCTCTGAGTTTATCATAATTTGAGGTTTTATTTTAGTAGCTTAGATACACTTTTCATGGAATTCGGGGAGATTCCCTTTCTTGTTTCTTTAGTACCCTTTCTCTGTCTGGTGTCCCAGAAGTCTCTGATGCTCTGTCCATTTTGTTTGTTTTCTAATTTGGTTTTGTTTCTCTGTTCCTCAGAATATATATTTCAATTGATTTATCTCATGGTTGTTGATTTTTATCCTGCCAACTTACATCCACTAATGAGACCCTCCAGTAATTTTCATTATTATTATTTCAGTAATTGTACTTTTCAGCTCCAGAATCTCATTTGGTTCTTTCTTTTTTTTTAATCATTTTTACCTATTTGTTTTCTTGGTTCAATTATTGATCTTTATCATCCTTTCTTTTCTTTAAGCATTGTGTCCTTTAGGGTTTTTTAAATGTACTTACAATAACCGAATACACAAATTCCTTTGTATACCTCATCATTTTGTCTTGAAACTGGACATTTTAAGTAATATAGTGCGGCATCTTTGAAAATCAGATTCACTCCCTTCCCCCGGGATAGTTGTTCTGGATTTTATTGTTACTGCTGCTGTTTGTTTGGTGTCTCCCATGGACTAATTCTGTAAGTCTGTAATTCCTATAATGTGTCAGTGAATCTCTGCTCGATTATAACATTAGTCAGTTTATGACTGAACAGAGATTTCCTTAAAGACCTTGACTCCATAAGGATTTTCTACCTTTCGCCAGGGGGCTCTGTGTGGCTATCAGGACAGGCCTTCTGTCCTCAGGCAGGCAATTTGCAACTGCCTTGGCCATTACCTTCTCTTTTCATCGAGCCTCAAAGTCAGCTGAAGGTGAGCATTCAGAACCAACTGAGGGTGAGCACTTAGGGCCTCTCTAGGTATTTCCCTGTTACATTCACAGCCCTGCACTTGTACGTGACCTTCCAAATCTCTAAGACTAGATCATAGTTTTTTGTTTGTTTGTTTCTTTCTTTTTTTGAGAGAGAGGTTTTTGCTATAGGGCGTGTGCGCTTGCCAGAGAGAGACAGAGAAACAGAAAGAGAGAAATCACCCCCCAGGGGGGATGGCCATGCCGCAATCCCTTCTCCTCCGTTCTCCTCTCAGGATCTTGGGCACGCACAGAAGCCCAGCGTGAGTTTTAAGCCACCGGGTCTGGGATGCGAACCCCGGTCGGCTACATGGAAGTCCAGGGCCATAGCCATTACGCTAACTGCTGGTCCCACTAGATCATAGTTTTGTAATGCTCTCTACACATCTCATTCTCCAAGACTTCCTTGTAAGTTTTATGGCTGGTCTTTTGTGTGTCTCTTGGTATTGCTGCCTCAGGAAGCTGCAGTGTTAAACCATTGCAACCCCTTTGGGAATCTGATAAAAACCATGTATGCTTTTCCTGGAAAACTGTACATAGGCACATTATTTCGCCTCTAACTTTCAAGCATCTGATTAAATTTATTAATCAGGTTAGGGACTACAAATAACATCTTTTTATCTATACGAAGACACGTGGAGAAAGGATAGAGATCAAAAAATTTTAATGTTCTATATTTATATACAAGAGAAAAAAGAAGTCCAAAAAGGAAATGACTTGCTCGAGGTCACACAGTTAGATGGTATCAGACATGAGCCACATCCAGAAATCCCAGGTCATGGCTCCTCCCAGCTTGAATCAGAGAATGAATGGCAGGCCTTTTTCAGATCTCTAAGGTTCTTACAGGCCCTGTGCCAAAGACAAACTCTCATTACTGTGGCTTCTGTAACACTCTGACATACATACCTGATTCCAAAGATCTTTGGGACAGGAAGGTACAGGGAATCCTGGCCTGTCATCTAATAGATACTTACTGAATTTAGATGCCCCCCCTGTGCCTAGCCTGATAAGGGGCACCAAGGGGTCACAGAGAAAACTTAAGACAAAAGACAGACAATCCAGCTGAGAAGACATGACGAGGCCCCATTCTGGTGTAGCCATATGATAAATGGGGTACAAACATTAGCTCAAGAGAGGAGAATGGAAATTTGGTGGTAGTATGGTTCTAGTCTCTCTTGTCGCTAGTTATAGAAAATACAAGAGTCTGGGTAATTTAAGATAATAGAATTTTATTCAACTCACAGTTTGGAGGGCCAAGGTTCAGAGGCCACACCCAGAGAGGGCCTCCTGTCTGCACCACAACATGGTGGCAGGTAAGAGAGTGGTGTCTGTGCCCTTGTGTCTCTCTTTTCTGGTCTCATTCTATTTCCTTATAAATATTTCAGAGCTCAATTGTTGAAGCCCCACTTTGATGTTTGACCACTTCCCTAAGGCCTCACCTTTTAACACCATAGTCAGAACAAGTAGTTACACTCTTAATCCCATCACAACCAAATCTCAGAATTTGGGGAGGACATTCAGACCTTCACAAGGTCTGATCAAAGAGGAGAGGGAATCAAAAGATGTGTAGAAATTAAAGACATGGAGGAGATAATAGAAGGCACTTAAGTAGTGTGGCAAGAATGGGCACCATATAAGCAAAAGCAAACAGAAGGGAAAG